CTATTTCCTGAAGCTGTAGGAGAATACTGTCAGGGGTTTATAAGTACGGTCTGGGAATCTCCTATGTCAGTTCAGTCCATTTACAATGAAGTCATGTGATTTTAAATTCCCCTTTTTCAATAACCTCAGAGTGATGAAAAGAAAAGAGAAAGGAGGGAACAATTAAAAACCACAATGTTAACAAAACCAGGCAAACAATTCTTGGAGCAAATACACAAACAAAATGCTACAGCACATCATTGTTTGGGTTTGCAGGTCAGCCTACAAATGATAACATTCAAGATGATTAATTGTACAGAGCCATGTGTATGCTTTTGATGTCATTGTTCAGTATACATCTACAACAACAGTCAGGCTCTCTGCTGACACATTGTCACAATTTTCTATGTTAGCATGAACAATGAACAGATTTTAAAAATTGGATTGGTTACTATAAAAATGCTGCTTAAGGATTCATATTAGAAGCAACTGCTAACTCCTACTCTCCAATATCATATGAAATGAGATCAGCTCTGACATAAACGATGAAAATGGTACTGATCTATCATACTTCTGTGCATCAGTAAACAAAGTTTACAGGAGTCAATGTTTTCCAGCTTGGCTTCTTACTCCAGTTAGTCATCTCAGAGTAGATTTGCTTTACTAACAGATCTAACTGATCTTAGAGCTGCCTAATTGTAGGTACCTAATGTTGAAAATATAGGCCATTGGTCAATTAGCCATAAAATACATAATTTTCCATAAAATACATCATATTTCATCACATTACATAAAATACATCCTGTCCTTTGGAAACCCCGTAGAAATTCATTCTTTTCAAAATTTGGAAGACCCTCCCTTGCTTCCCATCCACCCCCTCTCCCCCAGAAAAACCTTTCTATTTGTTACAGCTGTTTATTATCAATATGGCCCAATTCTGTACAAGATGCTCTGTTTTGTTGTGTGAAGGGCCCTGTGATGAGAAACAAATAAATGTACCTTGCAGAATCCAGATGGTGCTTATCCCTACATTTTGGTCTTGTGCTGCAAGGGGCAGAGACCCAAGAAACCTGCAGTCTGATCCTGCTCTCACTAATTACTCCTTCACATGGGGCAATCTATTGACTCCAGCAGATCTGACCTTCATTTATGTCAGTTCAAATGAGATCAGCATTTTTTCTCAGTTCTATGTTATTCAAAATGTCTTTCAGTGAGGCATTAAGCAATATGAATAAAGTGTCACATGTTTGTTCTCTCATCCCCTCCACAAGTGTGTATAATATTTTGTTTCAAGTACCTGATTCTACTTCAGATTCTACAAATGACTGCCAGGTTAAGCTTGAGTTTCAGTAACTTTACTATTTTTCCCACTGACAAACAAGATACATGAGCCATAATATGAGACTCTTATTTGGAAGCCATGTTAGTGTGAAGTAGCATTTAGTTTTATTTTACCTTGGGCTCCTTTAGATAGCAGTGCATAGCTTGGGTGACATCAGCTGCATGGACAGCATTGTGGTATGGGTTCTGGCTATGGTAATCTTCTTGAACCATAACTAGGAACAAAAACAAGGAAAATATTATCCTCTCACTTCTGGATACCAAGATCTTCATTGGGAATTGGACTTAAAGTAAGGTTTGGGGGGATGTTTTAAAACGATATTAAAGCTCAGCAGCTTGGTGATTCTTGTCAAATGTCTATAGTTTGCATAGCTTGGCACTCTTACTAAGATGCCTTTGGAGAAAAAAAAAATATTTGGAAGAATTTGTGATGCCCAAGGGGATTCTGGAGCTAGTTCATAAATCACCCCTTTCTTGCCTTCATGAAGGCTCTCATTCAGAAGTAAAATAAATAAGAAAAAAAAGGCAAATGTATACATACTCTAGTGTAATTATTTAGGCTGCTGTCAGTGAGTAATATGCCATTAAGGCAGTACCACCTATTTTATAGCAGCAGGGGGTGGGATCCTGACATCCTGATGTAGTTTGTTACTTGAGTGACTGACTGTGATCAAAAGTGCCTTCACATCCTTCAGGCATAGATTCAGGGATACAGCACTGGGCTAAAGCAAGTGGAGATTCGTGGTATATTTTTAGTCATCTCTGTCTTTGCATTTACAAATTCCACCCCCTCATTGTTCTGACTCCAGTGCTAAAACAGCTCATGTCAATGTAGAAGACAGTGAGCCAGCTTCAAGATTTTCCATCATCTCCTATGGGCAAGAGGAATCAGGTTTGCCCTCAAAACTTGGCTGTTTCATTGGGTAGCGTATTGGACCACCCATGCAGTCCTCTACATTATCCTAGGTTACATCTCATTGACCTTGTAAACTCAGTAGCTCCATTATAATATTGCCCAAATCATCCTTCTCCTTGAAGATAACATCCAATTCAATGGGAGTGGTGTAACAGGTAAGAGTCCAATGACCCTGATTTATTAGTACAGCATGCCTTCCTGTTAACCAGAAGGGGTCTTGGGAATGTAGTGGAAAATACAAAGAAATCTCTAGCAGGAGATTCCTCTGTCTATTAATTGTCAGAAGAGAAGAATGCCTATTGTTCCAATTGTGCTGGAGGCATCTCATATCATGCTAACAATGAATACCTGTATATAGCACAGAAAAGAAATGTACTTACTGGTAATTCCTTTTTGCCATAGGGTTGTAGTCACAATTACTGTTTCATCTCTTATATGGGTCTCTTCTTGGAAGAGAGTTATTGGTGTGTATATGGGTATATTCTATTTTAGTAAGCTTTTTCTCTTATATCAAGTATTACAAATATATTTCAAAGCAATCTCAAAGAACACAATTATCTGGAAGTGCTTAGGAAGCCTGAGTGAGATCCAACCACAAAACTCCCACTGTCATCTTTAAGGTCAGGATTCCACATATTGTGTTGAACTAAAACCCAAAACATTATTATATTTTATTACTTCATTTCTTTTCTATTTTTTCAGAGTAAGAGCTAAACCATTCCATTTCTGGTGCTTTTAGGCAGGGAAAAATTAGTGTAATCAAATAGCAATCATCATTTATTTACAGGACAAGATAAATATTATATATACATATGCAGGGTTCTATCTTTTTACTCTCCCAGTTCACAGTAGGTGCACAAAGTAACTAGATGAGATAGGTGTTTTAAGCTGCAGCACGCTAAGGTACAAAATGAGTTATAAAGAAAAAGGGACATAAAAGATAAGAAGACAATGAAAGACAAAAGAAAATAGAGGTGGCATTACTTAACTGTGAAGTAGGGCAAATAACAGGTGACCCAAGGAAAGCTGAAAAGTTTAATACATTTTTGCTTTAGTCTTATGTTATTTGTGCCCAAATGCTAACACAATTGATATTACAGAACAGTAGAAACAGAGGTCAGAATAGGAGGGAACAGATTAAAGAATACTGAGATAAAATAGATGTTTGCAAGTAAACAGGAACTGATGACATTTATGCTAGAATATATACGGAAGCAAATATTTGAATCTTTAGCAGTAGTCTACCAAAACTGAAGGATGGAATGGAGATGGGCAAATATACTATTTTTCAAAAGGGGGAAAAAAGAGGATCCCAGGAAGACACACCTAGTCAGCCTAACCTGATATCCTGAAAAAATACTTGAACAAATTCGGACACAATCACTGTGTAAGTATCCAAAGGATGCTTAGGTGATGAGAAACAATCAGCATGGTCTTGTCAAGAAATAATTATGTTAAACAATCTCATTTTTTTTTGACAGAACAACTGACCTAGTGAATAGAGGGAAAGCAAATATGTGAAATACATGAAACATCTTGACTTTAACAAAGACTTTATTCCAGATGGTATTCATGTAAGCAAACTAGGTAAATATACTTTAGATGAAAGTACTTAAAAGGTGAATACAAAGAGAGCAGTGTATTAACAGTGTGCAGTTAAATGGAGAGTTATATTAGGGGTCGGCAAAATATGGCCCATGGGCTGAATTTGGCCCACCAGGCAATTTCATCCAGCCCGCAGGTGCCCACCACCTAATTGTGCCCTATGAGGCCCACATACCCCACTCCCACCCTTGTGCGTGGAAGGGCCTGACCCAGCCAGCAGCAGCTTCCAGGTGGGGCTGCTGCTGCCACTGCTGCAACCACTGGAGGACCCACTCAGCTTCCCCAGTGTCCTGCTCACTCCGGGTACCAGGTAGGGAAGTGGCGGGGGCAAGGGGAGGTGGAGCTGCAGCTGGGTGGAAGCATGGGCTGGGGCTGATGGCAACGTGGAGCCTGGAGTCTGCACCCGGGAGGGGGGGTGGGAGCAGAGCTCAGGTGGTCAGGGTGTGGGTGTGAGGGAGGGTGGAGGGGTTTGGGGACTCCCCATGCACTCCCTCACATTGTGCACAGCCCCTGCTGCTGGTGGCAGCAGCAGCAAGTGGCGGAAGCTCAGAGCACTCATGGCCTGTGCAGGCAGTGCTGCCCGGTGGCATGTGGCTCCAGCCAGCACTGCATGTGGTGGTGAGGAGTGCAGCCAGGCCAGCCCTCTTCTATTGTGTGGGGCTCCATGTGGCACACATGGAGCTCCTGGCACTCTCATGCCACCGAGGGAAGCCCCATGCAATGGAGCTGACTGCCTTCCCTGCCCCTTGCTGTCCAAGCCCTAGGACTCTGCCAGGAAGGAGGAGGCAGTGGCAGGGTTCCTCTCCACTTCCAGTGGAGTCCTTGGACCTGCATGTCAGGGAGTGGTGAAGCCAGCCATCTCCATTGCATGGGCTTCCCCTGGTGATGCACAAGTGCCAGGAGCTGCATATGTGCCATGCAGCGCCCTGCGCAATAGAGATGGGCTGGCCAGGCTGTACTCCTTGCCAGCATTATATTAAGGAAGTCTTAGAAAGTAGCACTGTATATATATATCCCTGACTTCTGCTTGTCTTCAGACTAACATTGCTAATTGTATCTCCCTGGTCCTAGAAAGGTCAGTCTTGGGTATGGTAGAGGTCAAAATTTTCAGTAATGGCTCTGATGATGACAAAGAAAGCACATTTATAAAATTTGTGGATGACATCAAGCTGGGAGATACTGCAAGGACTTTGATAGACAAGACCTGAATTAAAACTGACCTTGGAAATAGGAGAACTGACCTGAAATCAGCAGGATGAAATTCAGTAAGCAGAAGTGCAAAGTACAATATTTAAGAAAGACAAATACAAAATGGGGAATAAGAAGGTAGCAGTAGTGCAAATGAGGATCTGGGGATTATAGGAGAACATAAACTGCATATGAACCTACGTGTGGTGCCGTTTCAAAAATGACAAATACCATTCTGGGTTGTTATGATACAGGACGTGACTATTTTAATTTACTCAGCATGAGTCAGGTCTTAGCCAGAGTTCATGTGGTCAGTTCTGGGCACTAAGAAAGAGGTAGATTGTGGCAGGACACCTTCAGTGCTTGCCACTTTAAGAAGCTTAAGCAGGCTGTGGAGCAGCCTGTAGATGCAGTGTGGCCTAACGGGGTTGTCACATGACTGCAAGAGGGCTCCTGGATTAGAGGATGGGGCTGGGCAGCCTCAGTATAAATACAGGCCCTAAGAGTTGAGCTGGCAGTTGCTGTAGGGATGCCACTGGAGTAACACTGCCCAGCTGGAGATCTGCTGCTCCAAGAACATCTGGAGGTTCAGGGTAGGACCTGTGGGGATGGAGGAGGTTCCTTGTCTTGGGAAATCCCCTGCTGGGGAGGATGGTGTGGGTTGCCTGTGGCAGGGTGGTCCCCAGGAAATGCCACCCCAGTGAAAGGTGAGTATGGGGTGCCGTATAGCCTCTGCCCCCACAACCTGGTGGGTTACTCCATAGAGGAGACAGGCGAGGAGTCCAGGCATGTCACCAGAGGCCTGAGGCCCAAGGAGCGTAACGCCTAGTAGTGCTGGTGAGGGTGCAGTGTAGTGGCCCTAGTGAGGGGGCATGTCAGAATGAGTAGGCTGCACAGAATAGGGTCTGCACAGGTGGGCCTGAAGGACTGTGGATAAACTGGCCATAGTGATTGAGCGAGCAGTTTGGAGAGGCCTGAAAAAGTGGACCTGTATGGAAGAGTGAGGGTGAGTAGCTCAAAACCCCACTGGGAGTAACCATGCTGGGGCCAGGACCAGACCAGCTGGCCTAGAGGCAAAGCCAGAGCCTGTGTGGCCAAAGGTCCCAGAGGGAGCCACTGCTGAGAGGGAAAAGGGCTTAGGGAGTTTTGGAGTCCAGAATGAGGGCAGAGATTAGACTGCCTGAGTAGGAAGGATCCAGGTGGGGTCCAAATGTCAGGAGTGCATAGAGTGGGACCAGAGCCATTTAGTGATGCCATCTGTGTAGCATGGGACATGGTGTAGGGGCAGTGCAGAACCATGTATTATGCCCTTGGCATCAGGCAGGAAATGGGCAGCCTCCCACCTTATAAACAACTACTTATTAAGTTACAATAAAGGTATGGTAGCTGAGTTAGGCAGATGGACTGCCCTAGACAGGCGGGCTCGCCAACGATTGGACCACCCCCAGGACAACCCCTGTCACATAGATAATTTGGAGAAAGTCTAGAAGAGGGCAACGTAAGTGATAAGGAGGCTTAAAACACATGACCTGTGATGAGAAAATGAAAGAACTGTTGCATGTGGCACATGGTCTGAACCTGGTGCCACAGCTGTTCCACAGGGGGTCAGTCCTGGTCCAGCCTGCAGACCAGCTCAAGGATGCTCATTCAGCCTATGGGGCCTGATGAGATTGACATCCCTACTCTAGGGCCCTGATCCTATTCCACCTATAAGTACCTAAGTGGACTGATCCTATTTCCTGAAGAACAATCAACACAAAAGGTGGCTTAACACAAAAGGTGGATAGACCCTCCTCCTGCTCACTGCTTTTTCTATGTTAATTCTTAAGACTGAGATGACGGTGTTATACAAAAGTAGGCACATTAATGGTTTTTCAAAGACTTGAGCAAGGTAGAATAGGATCACAACGAGGGGCCTAAGTGCACTTAGGTTTATAACAGAATTGGATCGGGACCTTGGCATCTGGTGCTGGGTTTTCATTTTCCAGCAGTGGCAGCTGTGGTTTCTCACTGGAGGGACACCACCGTTGGAACTCTCTCTCAACAGTCTGACAAACTGGAATTCAGCTGCATTTAGGCCACTCTGCAAGAACTCATCTGATTTTGGCTGATTTCTTCTGTTTGATTTTCTGACAACACCGAGGCTTATATTTCTGTTGGCTGTGGTGGCAGCAGCAATGGCTTTCATCAGTGCTATCCCATGTGAACAGCTTGATATAATTTGTTAAATCTTGTACATAAGGTCTTAGTTGCCATTGGCCAAGTGCTCTTTAAATCATTAAAATAATGACACGGTTCCACAATTGCATTTGCTCTTGGGTAGATACTACATCGTGTATCCAGCTGTGTCTGTATGCATTGCAACAGGACTGGTTTTCTTTAAAGAAGCACTGCAGCTTTATCTGAGCTGATGAAACTTTTATCAGCTGTGAAGCCAATCCAAAGTCTTTCTGTTGCCTTCCATGGGCATTGGACTGAGTCCTTGTTGCTCGTAAACTCTGTGCACGTATTTCAAGAAAATGTTCATTTGCCCATATGTGTAAGAACATTATGAAGACCAAATCAGTTATGTCCTTGTTACCCTATCTATGCTGTTAAGTGCTTTTGAAGAGAATGATGAAGAAGGCACTTACCTAAAAACCTGTGTAATGTCACCATGTCTAACTGGAAATGATGAATAAGCCCATGCACATTGAAGAGATGGCAGAGCAATCTTACAAGACTGTTTCCTGAAAAATATATAGGAAGGATACTTTTATGAAGACATTAACTTCTCTAACATCTGACAAATAAGACATACCATCAACTGACCACAACTTAGATTTTGGCTGTTTTCTAATTGTGTGAACAGATTCACAATGGGGAACTTATCCTGGTTAACTGAGGCACATAAATAACTTTATTCCAGAGAGTTACGTTACTCACACACAACTCCAGGATCCTATCCTAACTTGAGCTGGAGCTTTAGTTTGACAAGCTTTAGTTAGAGCACCCCTGCCACCATTTTTAAGTGCAGAAATGCTGATACAAAAGATGCTGGAGTCTAGTGGAGCACAGTAATTACCACGTTCCAGCAGACTTGATTAATCAAGACTGCTCTGCCACGCTGTAATTACAGCCCATGGGAGCAGCCTTGCTGTTCGTGTATAGGCGCCCACCGATCTCACTAAGAGGCCAGCACAGGGAGCCGTGGCAAAACTGAGTTCTAACTGATATTACACTGATGAACAATGTGGTTATTTAGAATGTGTAGGAAAATTAATGGCAGCTGTAAGGCTACAATAATCATTTGAAATATTTATAGAAAGGAAAGAAAATGTAAATAATGAAAAAGAATGGGATATAAGGAAAGAGTTAATGGATTTTTTAGTGCCTGTGGTTCATGAGTGAAGGAGCTTATGCAGAGGAAACAGACATGTCTTTAACTCTTTGATAATACAGCAATGATATAGAGAGACAATGCCTTCTCCTACTGTATTGCCTAAATTCACATGTGGAGGCATACATAACCAAATGCAGACATTCAGACACGGATATATTTTACTTGGCTTTCATAGTTATGGCTCTCATTGAATAAAAAAAGAATCAACATCCTTTTCAGATGATTAATATAAGTAAGGGACAGTGAGACAAAAAACATCTCACATAAATGCAGCATCACTTCACATGAAGCCTGTCCCTAAAGCTAATGTATCTGGTGGCATAAGGCCAGTGTATACTAAAATGAGATGAAATGAACAATAACTTGTTAAAGTCCTTGCGGATTTTTTGTGGTAAAAGGTGCCATTTGAAAGCAAGTCATTATGGCTGCTTGCAGATGTCCCCCCCCCCCCAAA